TGTATCGCAATTGCAATGCCCCACTCGCAATTGCGAAGAATAGGCCAGTCTGAGTAGGATCACGTCTGCGATATTTTAGTCGCATTTGCGATGGGAGCAGGCTTCGCAATTGCGAAGCCATTATCGCATTTTTTACTTCCCCTTAGGCTGTCAGGAGCCACAATTGCAAGGCTTTCTTTGCAATTGCGAACCCAGTGTCACATTGCGATATCTGCAACTGAACAAAGGCCTAGAAAGTCGGGATTTCATCTAATTTCTCTCATTTTAGAACCCTAGACTCGATATGAGGCGACTTGGAGAAGGGATTTTCACCTACAATTATTGGGTAACTAGTTTTAATAAATTTCCAAATATATTTCATGATTACATATGGTATTTAACATCAAATTTATTAGAATCAAAGAGAATTTTGGGTATTTTTGTCTAAATTTTGAAAAATAAAAATTTGGGATTTGAGAGTCAAATTGGACTCGGGTTTGAAAAGAAAATACATATATAGACTCGTGGGGTTATGGCTACTCAAAATCTACCTTTGGACTCGGGTATTGACCGGGCGGGCCCGAGTTGACTTTAAAAAATTTGTGTAAAGATTATTGCTTTATTAATCGTAATTGTTTTCTCTTGCATTGTTTGATGATATTAAGTCATTTTTTGTTAGATTTGAGCCGTGTGGAGGCGAATTTTAGGGGAAAGGCTATTTTTGAAAGTTGATTTGGCTTGCTTGAGGTAAGCAACACATCTAAACTTGGAATTCAGATTTTTAACCTTGAGAACCATGTTATATGAAAGATATTAGGGTGACGTACGTGCTAGGTGACAGGCGTGTGTACGTGCACCAGTGTGTTCATGGTTTGGGGAGGACTTTAGGCTATTACCAGGTTTGTTTTTCTATCTTACCATGTTATACCCGTGTTTTCCCTACTTGTTTGATTACTTGAACTGTGATTCATGTTAGACATCATGTCTAGGCTAAGTGCTATTTGTTTGAGACTTGATAGGGCTATTCTTGTTGTTTCTGAGCTATATGCCTTATTTGTACACATGTTCTCAGTCATGATGCTATATCCGTGTACGATATCTCTGTCTTAATACTTTTTATTTGATTCCTCGCTTGTTGTTGATGCCTCATATGTGTAAAACTGTTAACCTGAGTACTATAAGATGTGTTGTCTGAGACCTGAACGATAAATGACTGAGTTTGGTCCATAGAGCCGATTTGGTATTGATTTTGAGGTGACGCGTACCCAGGCCCATATTGGGCTAAGTGTTATTGTTTTGGGGCAAGCATTCACCAATCCTCACTATTGGACTTAATAATTATGATTAGCGCTTGGGCAGGATCCGCCCCTCCGGAGTCTGACATGCCAGTAGTAGGCGCAGGCACAGTGTTTTATATACGTGCTTAATGATGGGCAAATATGCTAGGCATCCGTACAGTTCTAAGTGTGTATATTTGGATGGATCCCCTATGATATCGTTAATTTGACATGTATACTTGACATGTATGCATAGATACGTACTTCCTCACGCTAGTTGGTGACTAAAATACTTTATTTGTGTTGGCTTTAACTGTTGTACTTGAAAGCATGCCTAAATTCATGAAATGTGAACAAGTTGAACATAATATCATCGAGTTACCTTTCTACTGTTTTCCCGTTATATTCTAAACTGTTACTAATTATTGATATTGGCATCTGACTATTATTTCTGAGCTCGTCACTGCTTTCAGCCCAAGGTTAGTGTTGTTACTTATTGAGTACAAATGATCGGTTGTACTCATACTATGCTCTGCACTTCGTGTGCAGACCCTAGTACATCCGGTCGAGGTGGTTTCCAGAGTTGAGTTGCTATTAGCTTTGGGGAGACTACGAGGTAGTTGCTATGTCGTTCGCAGTCCTTGAAGTTTTCTTTCAGTTATTTCTATCTTTACTGTTTGTTGTTTAGACAGTTGTATTAGAGGATTTTGCTTGTATCTTGTTATTCAGTAGTGTTGTTGACACCAGATTTTGAGGATGGTTGTAGTAGTATTATGATTATATTTTTAGATACTTCATGATATTTGTTCGCTGATAAGTTATTATACCATATTTATTCGATTTCATTATTATTATTATTATTATTATTATTATTATTATTATTATTATTATTATTATTATTATTATTATTATTATTATTATGTCGTTGTTGGCTTACCTAACGGGCTGGGTTAGGTGCCATAACAACTAGTGAATTTTGGATCGTGACAAAAGCATTGATATAACAAGGAAGCATTTATATCAATCATAAGTCAAAGTGTTGAACAAGGAGATGAACCAATAATGTAAAATATATTTCAAAGTCATCTCCTTTAGCGATTAATTTAAACCAAAATTATGTGAGGTTTTACCTTTAGCGGGGGTACTGTACCGCCACCGGCATAATAGAAATAACACTAGGTGATCAACCTAGCCACAAATATTTGACCTAACTCGTCTGAACGCCTTCCCCGTAGTACTGTACGAGTTGACTTAACCTCATTACATTTAATAAAGATCATTTGCCCACAAATTAGGAGACTTTATCCCAAAAAACTCGGTTTAACCTTAGAATGTGTCCCTACACCAGTACATGCAGTTCCATGGTAATGATTTCAAAATTCGAATCAATCTCGGTGGTCTCCACTAGTAACTCCCAAAATATTTGACTTTTCTAGAATAAATTGATAGCTTATAAGCCTCAAAGAAATCTATTTCAAATTAAATTACGGTGTTCATAACCAATCTAACCATTTGAACAAAATTCAAATGAAAACCTAATTCAATTTCATGTTAAAAGAAATTAATAAAATGAGAATTCATCTTTTAGTTCAACGAGTGTCACTCCAACATGTAAAGATGTTTAAAAAATGTAACACTTTATATTTTCAATAAAATAACTCATGAATCGCACTTAACCATTTATAATGCAAGGAATGGTATAATCCCAACCCGCTCGTCCCCACAAGTTAGGATCCACAATTAGAAGTGAAGTTCTAAACCATTTTACGATATGCAATTTGTAGGAAAAATTTCACGAAGTAGTAGGTTTCAACATACCTCAATATGCTCCCAAAATTTTACCACAAGTATCCAAGGTCTTCAACCAATCACAATCTACAAAATTATATCCAGCATGAGCCAAGAGTTGCTCAACAATATCTAACAATACCAATTTAAGCCTTTACTCTTGACTAGATGTACTTAGGGTTCATCTTTACCATAAAATGTGTTCATCCATTCTTAACAATCTCATTTATAGTAGTTAATACTGTATTAGGGTTATAAACAACTAAACAATCTATATTTAATGCCCCAAGTTACTATTCATGTCTTCCCCAACCACCAACCATCAATATCCAATTAGGGTTTCATATTTTCTCACATTCAACTACTTCTTAATATCATGAATATCATATATACACTCATTTATATCTCATAAATGAGATTGGAGTAAAAGAATTTACCTTTCGAAGGAAACCTTAGAAAATCCCTTGTTTGGTGTTCTTGGTGATTCTTCAAGATTCAAGTGAATTCCTATGGATTGGATCCATATATGTATTAGTTCTAATATATAGTGATATTATAACTTCATAGATGTACCAAAAAATTCATACCTTGAAGAGTATTACACATGGGGGTTGACCCTTTCTCTCTCTAAAATATCAAAGCTTCAAAAACCTTGCTTAAATTCTCTCTCCCCGCCTCCTTTCTATTTAAAGAAAATGAGGTGCGTAGGAGCTGTGCGTAGCTACGCGCCTGAAGCTCCTCTCTTTTTCCCCTCTGGTTTCAGCTACACATGCCAGTGTAGCTACGCACCCTAGCTACACACAACTAAAGCTTCTCCTTTTCCTCTTCTCTTCTTCCTGGTTTTGGTTACGCATGCGAGCGTAGCTACACATCCTAGCTACGCCTCCTTTATTTGCTAAACCATCAAAGTCATACATTTAGCCACTCAACCTAGGACCTCCAACACTTATGACCTTATGCTCAAGTATCCCAATGGCCCCACTACCCTCGTATGGGTCCTTACGTACTTCGAGGTCTTACTAATTATTTTCTTAAGCTTGAATTATGCTTAATCATACTGGAAAATTTTTGGGGCTTTACACTCTGCCACCTTGAGAGGAAGATATGCTAGATTATGTGTTGAGTTGCCATTTGTCTACCCAGTGATACCTTTTATCTTTATTGGCCAACAAAAATTAAAATTTGTATGAAGGATTTTTTTGTATGAGTTTCTTCTAAATCAAACTACCCGCGACGAATCAAGAGAGAATGATTGCAATCCCAATCAAGTAATTTTATAAGTGGGCCCAAAAAATATATACACGATGGTAAATTTAATATTTAGGCAAACAATCAAAATGTAGCATTGGGACTCCAATACAGAGAAAGTGACAAAATAAATAACTATAAGCCAAACCATTCTAAATTTCAAGTTAAAAGAGTTCTTGACCAAATGATCCCTTATATTTGGTGGTAGGTTCCAAATGATCACTTAAATATAACTTTGAGTAGTTTTAATCCTATGCCAAACGTAATATTTTTGGTCTACATCAAATATTTAAAATGTTCTGATTGCTATATTTAACAAAAATTATGAGAAATAAAGAGATTTAATATGAATTCACATTTCAAGGTGTAACTTTTCAATTTTTGATATTTTTGATTTATTTTTGAAGTTTGGTGCAATTTTTCCGAGGTATAATTTCTGATATTTTAAAATTATTTTTGATGCTTGGTGAAATTCTTAATGTTGCTATTTTTCAGATTTGACGAGACTTTACTAGTGTTTTGGTTAAATTATTTTTTAAAGTAATTCCTGTTAAATCTAAAAGTTATACTTGATCAAGACCAAGCGTGCTCATTTTGAAACTTAGAGAATCAAAACCGCTCAGGAATATACTTAAGGAATCATTTTAAACTTATCCTAAACTTACGGACCATTATTGTCATTTTCTCCCAAATAAACATCACCTGTTTTCTTTCAGGGAGAGCGGGCTGCCAAAATTGATTTTATACTTCAGAGAGGGGTTTAAGCCTAAACCCTAAAACAAGCTGAGATGGAGTCTTCTTCTCCGACTGCAGGGAAAAGGAAGCAACCGGAGGAGGAGAACTCCGACGTGAACTCAGTCCAGAAGCTAAATTCATCCTCATCAAAGAGAGTCACATTAGCTCGAACCTGCGTCCACGAGGTAGCAGTTCCAACTAATTACACTTCAACCAACGACGAAACAATCCATGGAACCCTCTCAAACCCTTCGTATAACGGCGAAATGGCTAAAACTTACCCGTTCAAGCTCGACCCATTTCAGGAAGTATCCGTCGCGTGCTTGGAACGTAAAGAATCAGTTCTTGTATCGGCACATACCTCTGCGGGAAAAACAGCTGTCGCCGAGTACGCAATCGCAATGGCATTTAGGGATAACCAGAGAGTTATTTATACTTCACCTTTGAAAGCATTGAGCAATCAGAAGTATAGGGAATTAAGCCATGAGTTTAGTGATGTTGGTTTGATGACTGGTGACGTCACGATTTCGCCAAATGCAAGTTGTTTGGTGATGACGACGGAGATTTTAAGGGGTATGCTTTATAGAGGTTCTGAGGTATTAAAGGAAGTAGCTTGGGTTATATTTGATGAGATACATTACATGAAAGATCGCGAGAGAGGGGTAGTTTGGGAAGAGAGTATTATATTCTTGCCACCGGCTATTAAGATGGTGTTTCTTTCGGCTACAATGTCGAATGCTACTCAGTTTGCTGAATGGATTTGTAATATTCATAAGCAGCCTTGTCATGTGGTGTATACGGATTTTCGGCCTACCCCTTTGCAGCATTATATGTTCCCTGTGGGTGGTTCTGGATTGTATCTTGTGGTTGATGAGAACGAGCAGTTTAGGGAGGACAATTTTGTTAAGATGCAGGATAGTCTTGCAAAACAGAAATCGGGGGAAAATAAGAGTACTGCAAATGCTGCTAAGGTTAGAGGTAGAATTGCTAGAGGTGGCTCTTCTTCTGGTGTATCGGATATCTGCAAAATTGTCAAGGTGTGTGTAGTCTGGTCTTTAGATGATATGATATTCTCTTATTTTTTTCTTTTAATTTTTTCTTTGTTTCTATCAATTTTTTTGATGATATGTAGATTTTTCCCCCATAACAGTGTTATTACAAAATTAAGCTTGCTTCATGAGTGAAGCTAGGCTCTTCACAGAAATTTGTGCTTCTAATGATGACGTGCAAAATGGTCCAAGTACTTTATATGTTAATTTCAAGGAGTTAGATTGATATCGGTATTATTGTATGTTAGATGTTGAAATTAGTTATTTTAATTGCAATTTGATTGTCATAATACTAAATTCATACATATGATATTTTTAAATTTTCTTTAGTGCGCTCCACTTCTCGCTTTTCCCTTCAAGCCCCATGGACCTTGTTGCTCTTTTGCGCTTATGGCACTGTGTCGTATTGCATTTCCCTTTATAGTTGCTTTAATGATTTACTATAACAATGTTGATGCCTCATATCACTGAAGCAATTGATTCTTTATCTGTTAGATGACCATGGAAAAGAAGTTTCAGCCCGTCATTGTGTTCAGTTTTAGTAGAAGAGAATGTGAACAACATGCAATGTCTATGCCCAAGCTTGATTTTAATACCGAAGAGGAGAAGGAAGTAGTGTATGAGGTTTTCCGTAATGCAATGGATTGCTTGAGCGAGGAAGATAGGAACTTACCAGCTATTGAATTGATGTTGCCCCTACTTCAGCGTGGAATTGCTGTTCACCATTCTGGCCTGCTTCCTGTTATCAAGGAACTTGTGGAACTTCTCTTCCAAGAAGGACTTATAAAGGCTCTTTTTGCAACAGAGACAGTAATGACTTTTCTTTTAATATTTTGTGGGTCTTTTTGTCTTGTGCAGTTAAACACCCCTAATGATTTTTTCTTCTTTGTTGTTTTTCCTTCTAATGTTTTGATAGTTTGCCATGGGGCTAAACATGCCTGCAAAAACTGTTGTTTTTACCAATGTAAAGAAATGGGATGGTGATAGTCATCGTTACATTGGATCTGGTGAGTATATTCAGGTGAGTCAGAATTGCCCATATAACATGACATAAAAGCCCATATAATATGACTTAAATATCATTTGCATTTCGGTTCTTGATTCTTCATATTCTCCTCTCTTTCATGTAGATGAGTGGAAGAGCAGGACGTCGTGGCAAAGATGACCGTGGTATTTGTATTATCATGATTGAAGAGCAGGTAAGTTGGTAGTAATATTCTCACTTGAAGAGTATCTTGTTTATAACTATTATTGCCTTCTTGAAATGTATGTTTTTTGTTTGCCACTTAAGCATATGCAAACTATGTAGTTAAGTATATCTAAGGCATCTTTTCTATTCTTCTTAGCTGTTAGATCGATGGCTTATGTAGTGTTTGTTGATTTCAGATGGAGATGAATAGCCTCAAGGATATGGTATTGGGTAAACCAGCTCCATTAGTCAGCACATTTAGGCTGAGTTACTACACAATTTTGAATTTAATGAGTCATGCCCAAGGCCAATTTACTGCTGAGCATGTTATCAAAAACTCATTTCACCAGTTTCAGTACGAAAAGGTTTTCTCTTTGTCTAATTCCATTTTCTCTTTGACTACGTTATATGTAATGACTGACAGTGAGGTTGTCTTTTTGTTAGGCGTTACCTGACATTGGGAAGAAGGTCTCTAAGCTGGAAGAAGAAGCTGCGATGCTTGATGCATCCGGGGAGGTAATAAAGTTGTTGTCTTGGTATTTTACATATATATTCTTATGCCGTATATCCTGAACTTGCTTCTGTCTACTTGTAGGCTGAGGTTGCAGAATATCATAAACTAAAACTTGAGATAGCAGAACGTGAAAGAAAACTTATGGCTGAAATAACACGACCTGAAAGGGTTCTCCATTTTCTTCTTCCTGGTAGGCTGGTAAGTGGCGAGAGAAGCATCTCTATTCTCTGCTGCATTTTCTGTGAGTAGATTGAGCTCTGATTAGTCTAGACGGTTCATCTTAGCATGTAGATTGCATTGGTGATTGCAGGTGAAGGTATGGGAAGGTGGAAAAGATTGGGGTTGGGGTGTTGTAGTCAATGTGGTGAAGAAGCCTCCGGCACCGTCAGGTTCTTTGCCTGCTGCACTCTCTGCTTCACGTGGCACTGGCTATATTGTTGATACCCTACTTCATTGCTCTCTTGGTTCTGGTGAAAATGGTTCTCAACCCAAACCATGTCCTCCTCGTCCAGGGGAGAAGGGAGAAATGCATGTGGTGAGTACATATTTTGTAGTAATCATTCGTTGCTTACAACTTAATAAGAATATGACTTTATTCCTGAGTATGTTGCCAAATTTTAGGTTCCTGTTCAATTACCCCTGATTTCTTCACTCAGTAAGCTTAGAATATCTGTTCCTGCTGATCTTCGGCCATTGGAAGCAAGGCAAAGCATCCTGCTTGCTGTACAGGAGCTTCAGAAACGTTTTCCTCAAGGCCTCCCAAAGCTTAACCCTGTAAAGGTAGGAATTATATTATTGCTGGTTCCACATTGGATTGGAAATTTGCCATTTTTTATATGGAAATGGAACTAGGCCATTTTTATTACGAAGCATATGTTGGTAAAAGCCAAAATTTAACACCTAATACTGAGAGAAGATTGGGATCTTAATGGATGATGGTCTTTTTTGTTCATTGTTCTGATATATTTATCCGGTTGCCTGAAAATTCTGTCATGAGATATTGTCGGTCATGTTAGCAACCAGGACTTTTCGTCACGAATCAGAAATTAGTGTCACTTATAGGAAACTGGAGCCATGTGTAATCCAGCAGTATTTTACTTGTTCCTTAATAAATAAAGGGAGCTATATGCACGTCGTGGTTGATGTGTACCCTATATGATTGTAGTCTAGGCTATCTCCTTACGGACTTTTTTAAAAAAAAATAGCTGATACACAATTCTCTCAGTTTAAAAAAAGGGAAAAAATAGAGGAAGAAAGAGCAAGAAAGGTGATGTATCTTTGGTCAGCTGATTGTACTATCATTATCAGGTTATCGTCATCCATTCTGTATTATAGCTCCATTTGTTGCCAAGTACCATTCTACTGTCTTTCTATAGCATGTTGAGAATAACCATTCGTACTTTTTCCGTATGCTGGTCAGGATTCTGAATTTGTTATTCTTGTAATCTCACATGAGTTTAGTGTCATATCCAGCTATAATATTTTCTTCTGTTTGGGTCAAGTATAGCTGTAATGAACATTTGCTGGTTGTGAAATGAACATTACAAAAAATGGAGTAGTATACTTCTTCAACTTCAAACTACTGAATACTGATCAAGATAATTTTGTTGCTGCTTTTCCTGATTTCTACCATTGTAGGACATGGGTTTTGAAGACCCCGAATTCGTTGATATAGTGAACCAGATTGAAGAACTAGACAAAAAATTGTTTGCTCACCCACTGCACAAGGTACGAGAAGAAGTTTGTTTTGAATAATCTGTTTAGTCTTGAGGATGCATGAAAAATAGAAACATTTGCTTTTATCCTTTTGATGATGGTTTAGTTATTGTCGCTACTTCTACACATGATGTTGCACACGCGGAGCAGTCACAAGACGAGCATCAACTTAAGAGTTTCCAGAGAAAGGCAGAAGTGAACCATGAAATTCAACAACTCAAGTCAAAAATGCGCGATTCACAGGTAAATTTCTGATGTGTCATGAATCATTCAATCAGCTACTCCATCCAAGCCTAGTTAGTTTTTCCTTCAAGAGTCCTCTATATCTGTCCCCTTGTAGTAGTACTAGTCGTGTATTTTTCTATTCCTAGCCCCTTGTTTTTATACAGTGTGTCATTATTATCAGTAGGATTGGTACTATTCTTGTAGTTTCATATCTCTGGAGCTCTATTATTACTCGTTGTATTATTTGCTTCCATTGTCTTATCTATTGTTTCTCTATTGCTTCATTTTTACTGTTTTTGAGCCGAGGGTCTTTCGGAAACACCCTCTTTACCTTCATAGGGTAGGGCTAAGGTCTGCGTACACACTACCATCCCCAAACCCCACTTGTGGGATTTCACTGGTTTTTTTTTGGTTGTTGTTGTAGTCCTCTATATCCATCCCACTCTATTCGGGTCTTTTTTCTTTAACTTTTCTTTGTTTCTTTTTTCTTATATTAATTTGTTAGGGTCACTTTCTGATCTAACATTTCTCTTCAAGATTGGCTTTCTCTTTTCATCTAAAAGGTTTAGGGAGTTATCTTCTGAACATTTAATATTTTGTAGCATATTTTTGCTTTTGCTCTTCTCAAGTTTTCTTCTATACTATCATGATACTCTTTTTAGTTTCAAGATGGTATTTATACATAAAACCTCACTTATAGTGATCCTTGGAGTTTGCTATTACCTTTTAGCACTTACTGGATTTTGTCAATTTATTTATTTAATATGAAATTGATGATTTTTCAGCTTCAAAAATTTCGGGATGAACTTAGAAACCGTTCCCAAGTCCTGAAGAAGCTGGGTCACATAGATGCTGATGGTGTTGTGCAGTTGAAGGGACGAGCAGCCTGCTTGATAGACACTGGGGATGAACTTCTTGTGACTGAACTGATGTGTAATGGTAATGTGACTACTGTCCCATATGAGCATGCAATTTAACTACTTTGGACTTGATTTAGGGTGTGATCAATGTGTATGATTTGGAAAAGCATAAAGACAATACAGTTTTCACTCTTAAGCTAAAAAAGCGAATGAGTTCAAATTAAACCGAGGTATCGGCTGCCTGGGTTAGTCTTTTTGCGATCTAAAGATCTATCTATATACAACCACGATAGCTGCGCTGGAACTAAATTTAAAAAGAACTAATCCTTTTTTTCTTTTTTATTGTCCAGTAGTCTCTTGTATGTCTATAGGTTATCCATGAATACTTTTGGTAGCTGGATTCAGTAATCACTCTGGGTGCTTTAGCTTTCCTTGGGCATCTGGCCCTTTATAAGCTGCTTATCTTCTGTTTGACACTTCCACGCTTTGGATACATAGTACTCCTACAATGGTGCTAAAAGTAGCTACAAATCATCGATATATGATATTCTGGATATTCTTGGTTTTGCTAGGTATGTTCAACAATCTTGATCATCATCAAACTGCGGCGCTGGCAAGTTGCTTTATCCCAGGAGACAAATCAAATGAACAAATAAATTTAAGAGCTGAGCTTGCTGGACCATTGCAACAACTACAAGATAATGCAAGAAGAATAGCAGAGGTCAGTCTAGTAAGGGTTTTGGTCTTCAATCTTTGTATGTCAGAAGCACAACTAAAAACTCTCTATGTTTGCAGATTCAACGTGAATGCAAGTTGGAGATAAACGTTGAAGAATATGTTGCGGCATCAGTACGACCATTCTTGATGGATGTCATCTATTGTTGGTCAAAGGTGAGTAAAGGTTCAATTGCCACGTGTTGCTTCTCAATTCCATGCTTGAATTAGAGATCGATACTAGAAGTTCATCTTTGTGTCCTACTTTACTATCATAGATTTGTATTCTTGTTTTTAAAATTTTTTTCCTGCAAGTCAACTCTAAAGGCGCTTATGATTGATACTAGGTTTCCTTCCATGCTTCAAGCCAAAGAAACTACCATCTAATGGGCATCATCTTCCTGTAACCATTGCTCCTGTAATTTTTGTTTTCTGGAACTGATGGTGAAAAGTGTAGCTAATCGAGAAACTATCCAAAAACCAAAGTGTGTCCTTTCAACCATTAACTTCGAAGCTCTTTATCACTCCCTCTGTCCCATTCTATATGACACCCTTTCCTTTGTAGTTTGTCCTAGAATAACACCTTTCTATGTTTAGAAACAATTTAGTTTAAGCTTCCATTTTACCCTTGATGAATGATTTATATCCACAAAATTATCTATAGCATGTTCCGACCACAAGTTTCAAAAGTCTTTCTTTCTTTCTCCATATCCGGTCAACACCATCACATAAATTAGGATGGAAGGAGTACTTGCAAGCCTACTGGAAATCCTCTGCCTACAGTGTTCACCTAACTCTGTGTGTTCTCATGTTCATCTTTTTGGTTAAGCTCCAGGATCATGATTTACCTACAAGAGACATATTCAGGAATATTAATCTCTATAGGGCAATTATTTTTATTCTGGAACCATAAGTTTCTAGTTGGAACTGCTGATTGCTTTTGCCTACCTTTTTTATGACTAATACCAGTTGGAGGAAACTTGATTGTTGTCAAACTAGTTTTTCATTTTTTTATGGAAGAGTATTTTTCAGTTCATTTCAAGCTCTGTCTTCAAGAAATCATTTTAGTTTTGCAAGATTGTTCTTTGGGTAAAAATGAATGATTGCCTAAATCACCTGAAATACAATGAACTGAAACGAAGATTAAAAGGATTTTTCCTTCCACATTGAGTTGATCCAGGGTCTTTCCTTGCCCCCAATAAAAGTCAGAGAAAATTCGGAGGCTTTAAATTTTCTCTTATTTGTGTTTATGCTTTCTCTTAGGGAGCATCTTTCGCGGAGGTTATACAAATGACCGATATCTTTGAAGGTAGCATCATTCGGCTGGCACGAAGGCTTGATGAATTTTTGAACCAGGTAATTCAAGGATACTTTTATATTGTGTTTATGTGGAAAAATGTACCCGACCTTAAAAGTCACGGATTTGACCAGCTAGTTTGGTGCATCGAGGAGTACTTCCACTAAATAAGTTGATTATCTTTTTTCATCAACACTTTGACATGAGCATGTCAACATTATATAATACTTCTAGATATGAGTTCTCCCCATATATATTTGGAATCAAATAATGGAATTTTTGTCTCTTGGATTTACAGTTGAAAGCTGCTGCACATGCTGTGGGAGATGTCGCTTTGGAGAACAAGTTTGGTGCAGCCAGTGAAAGCCTCCGACGAGGAATAATGTTTGCAAATTCTCTGTACCTCTAGGAGCGTGTACTTTGGAGCTTCATTAGCATCAGAGTAAGTGCTTGTGTACATTTCGTCTATCAATATGGGGATTAGCTAGCAAATTGCGTTCTACTGTTTGAGGAACTATGAGTGATAATATATGTGTAGCGGAAGTGGGTTTTCCTAGTCATAGCTTTTTGTAGTTAAGTGGTATGAATTTGCTGTCTCATTTTTGTAATACACATATATGAATAATTTGATGCTGGAAGGCAAAATATTTCACCTGCAAATGTCTTAGCTGCTGTAGGATAGGCACAGAATGTGAAGACTTCCATTATTTTGAACTAACTAAATGATATTGGGGATGCAAAGAGGTAACAAAAACTGTAATATTCATTGAAATCTTTATCGAGTAACATAGTAGTTTTGCTTTCTGGTAAGGCAAATATAATTAAGACAAGGATGCCTTAAGCATATTATGCAGCAATAGGCTTGAAGACAACCGTGGAATGTTTTGCAATGTGCAAGCTAAACTGCCCTCCTTTCTCACTTGTATCAACTTTTTCCACACCTGGGGGAGCCTGCATTTCAAAATTTGACACCAGTTTGGCTATGACAAGCCCCAGAATTGGCAGTGCAAGGATGATTCCGGGGCAGCTCCGCCTCCCCATACCAAATGGCAGGTACCTGAAATCCACTTTGCCACCAGCAACAGCTGCCTCAGTGCTGCTATCCTCCTCAAGAAACCTCTCGGGCCGGAATTCATTTGGGTTTTTCCACCAAGCAGGGTTGTTTGCCAGCCACCACGCATTCACAACCACCTTAGTTTCTTTAGGAATAATGTAACCACCTAGCTTTGCTACTTCAAGGTTCATATGGGGTACAAGTAAAGGTATTGGTGTGTGGAGTCTTAATGTTTCATTTACTGTTGCTAGCAAGTAAGGCAGCTCATGTAGGTTTGATTCTGTGACTGACTTTCCTTTGAGGACTGTTGAGATTTCATCCCTAATCTTCTGTTGAACAATGGGATGATTTACAAGCTCAGCTATGGCCCATTCCATAGACCATAGAGTTGTTTCAATTGCTGCAACATTGATATTCTCCACAATATAGAGTACATTTTGCTCACTTATTTCTCCTTTCATTTCAGCATCTATTATGTGATCAATAGCACAACATATCTTGTGCTTTTCTCCATTTTCAGCCATTATTTTCCTGTTCTCAAAAATATTTGAAGAAATTGTTAACATGAATAGTCACTACTGCAATAATTAAAATAAAGCATAATTATTAGGGAAAAAATGGATTACCTTCTTTTCTCTACAAAATAATTGTTGAAAAATGCAAGTCTCCTTGTTTGTAAGTCTTTGCACTTGTTAAGGTACCCTCTCAAGAATGGTCTAAGCAAAGGGATAAAATCACCATAATTGTAGTCAAAGCTCTGAGCTAATCTGCTTCTCTCTGAATTAAACTTTGTTGCCTCAATGAACAAAGGATCATTTTGGGACTCAAACTTTGCATCAAACATCATTCGATACATAATGTTATACAGCATCAGCTGCAATCGTTTCCTAATCACAATTCCCTCATATTTCACTTTTTCATTCTTCAAGTCATTAACAACTAAGTCCATCTCATTCTCCCACATATCACTATATTGGTGCACCACTTTGTTAGTGAAAAATGGAAGTGTCATAATACGCCTCATTTTTCGCCAATGCTCGCCGTAAATGGTGAACACCATGTCTTGTCCATTACCAGTAAATATATCGAAGACAACGTTACATGGACGTGACCCAAACTCGACCCCTTGTGTGTGTAGAACTTGGTTAGCTAGCTCCGGGTTCGATACCACGGCTAGGTTTTTCGAACCGAGTTTTAGTAAAAATATAGGACCATAGGTTTGTGACATGGTGGCAAGGAGTTGATGGTTCAAGTCACTGCCAACTTGAAGCCAATTACCAAAAATTGGGACTGCTGTTGGACCAGGTGGGAGGTTGTTTTGGGGCTTAACATAGAGGAAGTTGATTATTAGGGGAAGTAAAGGGATAAGTGAAATGTACTTAAGAGGGAAAGGTATAGATAGGTAGAAGGATAGTAACTTGGCCAATGAAAGAAATGCAATTGTAAAGAAAATGCAAAAGATGGTGTTGTTGAGAAGTTTGGCCATGTTTTTAATTAGCTAAAGGTGAATATTAAGAAAAATGAGCACAAGTGATTGGGATGAGAAGGGACGTATATATGAGTAATAACATGAGTGGGGGTGGGGGGAGGGGTAGCAAAGTTGGTGTCCAATGGTTTTGGCTACAATCCATGGGCACGTCAAAAATCTAGGTAGGAGAATGTAAGTTTATCAATTAGGTCAAAGATGGTGGTTGGTAAAGCAAATTTACCTACATTTAAACATTCATTCTATGTAATCTATGCAATAAAAAGTGAAAGAATCCAATTTGTCTTAAACTAATTTCATTTTAAGGTTTTCCACAGTTCAAGACGGTCGCCGCCACTATAACAAGAAGAGTCTAATTAAGTTCTATTGCGTTTTTCTTTAAAGGGTGTGAATGGGAAATGGAAGAGGCACCTTTTGGATTGTACTTCTCCATCTCACCATTCCTTTGTCTATAAATTTAGAGGCTTGGCCTCATTTTTAAGATAGAGAAAAATCAGAATCTCCCCTCTTTTCTATTTTGTTGCATTATTTTCAAATAAATATATAAGTGTCAAGTGTGATTTGCTCCGTCTGTTGAGTTCGCTGAAATTCTGTAATTTCGATTGCCAGTATTGCAGAATAGTTATTCCGTTCTATCCTGGGAGGAATTAATCCAAAACCTTGGGCAACAGTGAGGGGATTAAATTCCTTAAGGACACACAAGCAACTTGTGGGCTCGGAATTATTTTTTCTGTTTTGTTTATTAAACTAATGTTTCTCTGCTTCTCTGATTTTCTGATTTCGAACACAGATAACCAACAATCTTAAGGAATTTATTTTGTTAGTTTTGTTTCTAACGGCTTCATGAGAAAATTGTGGTTGATTGTTTGCCGGAGAGATAAACGAACAAGCGAACACTGTCGAATGATCCTTGGCTAATTCTGCATGTAGTTTAATTGATGTTGTAAAATCTAGTCAATGATGATGATGATGAAACGACGTGTCTAATGCAAGTCATGGAATGCAATCTACTTGATCGATTTGCATCAGGATGAGTAAATTAAATTGCATCTAGTTTTCTTTTTGGTTCTTTTTACTAAAGAATGCATGCATATGGTTTGTGGATCACTTGTACCAAAGGCTGCTTCTCTGTCTCTATTTTTGTTTGTATAATGATTGAATTAAAGCCGTTTGACATGAACAGTTACAAAATTTATCTACTCTTCTCTGTATAGAGTACATATTAAAGTGAAAGAGTTGTCCATGTCATATCGCAACTACTAATGTCATGTTCAGACAATAAGTTGGAAACGGTGCTTGAACATCACTTCCATTTAGCCTTATCTATGATTTTACTTATCAGTTACAGTGAAAGAGAAATAAACCCATGGTTTACATGGTGCAATTTTCGTGGAAAATATTTCACTCAAAGAAGGGAATTCATCCAGGAAAATCAGTCTAAGATAAGTTTCAGATTTTTTAAATCATGAATTTTATAAAGTTGAATGGCATGTTGTATACCATGTCTTCCTCGCAGGTGTATCAATGCACCATCCCATTACTGACGTCGCAAATAATGGGTTCTCAAAGAAAATAGATGTAAATTATCATGACGTCCATAACGACGGCTTAAACATGAAAGATGAAATAGAGAATCCATCAATTCTCCTTGGAAAGGAATTGACAAACTGTGATGGAAGACAAATCGATTCCAATGCAACGATAAGAAGGAAGTAGTATCAAATCCTGGTTCTACTTTTTCTACTCTACTTATTGTTTATGTATTTATGAATTTCTAACCTTTGTGGTCTGGTAATATTTCAATTGATGAAATTTACTTGAAATAAATGTTAGTAGATGACTAACTTTGTGATGATTTTGAAAGATTATTTTCAAGGTTGTAAGTATAAATTAGGCTTACACTAAATACTTGAAAATAGTTTTGAAACCATGAATATAATATATGTAAAGATATTACATATGTTTGTTTGATAAGAAAATATATCAAACTGTTGAAATTTTTAGGGGTTATAATGGTTTAGTTGGAAAGCCATTTGAAAAGAAAATCAAAATACTTGTGATTTTCTACCTCTGTTTTAGAGAAAAATTAAAATTCTCATGATTTTCTATACCCGTTATGGAGAATAAAATCTTCGTGATTTTCTACTCTTGCTTCGAGATCAAAATCTGCGTGATTTTTTACTCGTTTGTTGAGATTAAAGTCTTCGTGACTTTCTACTCATTTGTCAGAAATTAAAGTCAAAGTGACTTTATACTCGTTTTGAAGATTAAAATCTTAGTGATTTTCTACTCCAATTTATTATTCGGTTTGAAGATTAAAAACTTCACCGTTTATTAAATTTGATTGTGTCACATATTACTCGGTTGGAAGATTAAAAAACTTCACCTTATTGATTTTGATTGTGTCAGATTGGTTTGAAGATTAAAAATTTCACCATTTATTCTGGCTCTGTCGTGATACATACAAGAGTTCATGTGGTTGGCTCTACATAGTAATAGGGGTGGTGAATACGAATCTCTTTTTGAAGAAATATTTTTGGAATATGAAATTATTCACCAAACGACCGCCCCTTAGGCACCGCAATCTAATGAAATTGCGGAAAGAAAGAATAGAACGTCAAATGAGACGATGAATGCCTAGTTGATAAGTTCTGGTTTACCCAAAATTTGTGAGGGGAAGCTATGCTTACAGCTAACTAAATACTCATTCGCGTTCCCCATAGCAAGATACAATCCATTCTATATGAAAAATGGAATGGAAGGAAGCCCACCTTAAATATTTTAAAGTGTGGGGGTACTTAGCTAAAGTGCAAGTTCCTAAACCCAAAGGGTAAAGATCGGACCGGACGTTATTGATTGCGTTTTCATAGGATATGCAACAAATAGTAAGGCATATCATTTTCTGGTTCATAAATCAGAAAATCCCGAATTCTTATTAATACAGTAATCAAATCAAATAATGTTGAATTCTTTGAGAATATTTATCCGTATAAAAAGGAATGTGATTCGTCTAGTAAAATATCTAAGCGGCCTTGGGAAGAAGAAAAGGAAAGTACACCTAATGAGGTGAATCCAAGACGTAGTAAATGTCAAAAGACAACTACTTCCAATAGATCAGATTTTCTGACATTCTTGTCAGAAAACGAGCTTCAAACTTTGGAAGAAGTTATGTCTTCCTCGGAAAGAAGCGTTCAATAGTGAGACAGAATCCATATTAAGTAACTATACTTGGGAGGTAATTGATCTTACTCTAGGGAACGAACCATTGGTTTCCAAATGGATTTTCAAGAGATGGCACTATTGAAAAATGTAAGGCAAGATTAGTTGTCAAAAAGTTTAGAAAACGAGAAGGTCTTGAGTATTGATATATACTCGCCGGTAACGAGGATTACATCTATTCGGATATTAATAGCGTTAGTCGCCGTGTATGACCTTGAAATCTATCAGATGGACGTAGAGACAACCTTCTTAAATGGAGATTTGGAGGAAAAAATTTATATGGAACAACCTGAAGGGTTCGTGATTCCTGGAAAAGAAAGAAGGTGTGTTGACTTGTTAAGTCACTTTACGGACTAAAATAAGCACCCAAACAATGGCATGTGAAAGTTGACTAGAAAATGTTGTCAAATGGTTTCAAACTAGTGTATTGACATTAAGAATACTCTAAATTATGTAGTCATTATTTGTTTATATATGGATTATAAATTGATAGTAAAGGCACATGAAACATGTGAAATGTGGGGGCATTTAGCTTATGCATAATAAAAGCTAATGTTAAGACGTGATGTATATATTATCTAGAAGAATTAGATGATATGATTCTTCGAACCCCACGAATCCTTAGGGATATTGATATGGTAGTCGGTGAATTCATTACTTGTTCAGTCTTAGTGATGACTAGTGATGAAACTATAAATTCGAAAGTTGTTTACGTGTCTTTCCAGAAATGATTTGTTCTTTCTTGAACATTTATAATGTTTAGCTCTTTTATGAAAGGGTGTAACCTGGAAGGCTGTGACTTTTCATGAAAAGTGTGTATGTATGTCTTGTATAAATATGATTGTTCATAAATGAACGTACTAATACGTTGGTCTATAATGAGGTGAACCAACCGATGAACATGACCAAAATCCATTGAAAGTTGGATTTGTTTCATAAATGAAGGTGCTATAATTTGCATATCATATGGACGTATGAATAAATAGCTTATAAATACTAAAAATGGCGGAGTGATTGCAAAATGTGTTATATATATTAAAAGGTTGTGGATACAACTGATGCCAATCCTTCCTGTTATTGTTCTAATATATTATTGCGACGTTAAGTGTAGTCAATAATCAAATATGAAATCGAAAGTCGAGACGTATTAGTCTACAACATAAGAAAGTTTACATTGAACTTTCATGACAATGAAACGAGTTTTGAAGTATTTGAAGTATACTCCAAATTATGCTTTGCACTAAAATAAGTATCTTTCGATAATAGAGAGGTATAGTGATGCAAATTAGATCACCGGTTCAACCGATTCTAAACAGTCGGTGGAGGAGCGATGTCTTGGAAATCGTTCAAACAAATATACATTGACCGCTCTACAGTGGAGGTTGAATTTATAGCATTAGAGAAGGCCGGTGAAGAAGCTGAATGGCTCCGAAATTTCTTGGAAGATATTCTATTTTGGCCCAAATCTTTGGCACCTATATGTATACATTGTGATAGTCAAACGACAATAGGAAGGGCTGGGAGCGTTATGTATAACGGAAAATTTTGTCATATATGCGAAGACATAGAACCGTTAGGCAACTACTCTCTAGGGGTATTATCATAATTGACTATGTAAAGTCAAGCGATAATGTGTTGGATCCACTTATGAAAGGCCTAACCAGAGAGGTAGTTGAAAGATCATCGAGGGGAATGTGACTATGGCCGAGGACAAGTCATTGTGGCGGTAACTCTACCTAGAAGACTGGAGATCCCAAGATCTTGGTTCAAGGAGCTCAAACAAAGTCACTAATGACGGTTCAACATTGTCAAATAAAATTTCTTTTTGGTCCATTCTCGTGATGAGACAATGTTCAGAACCAAGGATAAAGAGTTAAGACTTTTTAATGGTTTCTAAGTTTGATACAGGGTATATCAAATAGTGTATCTACGGGATAAACACGTTTAGGAATCACCTATGTAAGTGTGAAGTATAAGCCGCTTTAAGGAGAATTCTGTAAGGCCAGTTTTCTACGCACTTATGAACCAGGTGGTGTTCATGGCTGAAACGAACACAACAATAAGAACCAAAGACGGTTAAGAGTTGATTGTGTGACTTATAGTTGTCTAGGTATACACCAAAGCTCGACGGTTCAAAGATATCAATTCTACCGATTGACCGAGTATATCCGACATAAGTTCACTACGGAAAGTTCAAAGAGAAACCTACTTATCCAGATGCGATTAATCCTTACTTGCGAATCACACTGTATTTTCATGCATGTTTTTACACATATGCCCATTCCCCATTCATGTGGGGGATTGTTGCGTTTTTCTTTAAAGGGTGTGAATGGGAAATGGAAGAGGCACCTTTTGGATTGCACCTCTCCATCTCACCCTTCCTTTGTCTATAAATTTAGAGGCTTGACCTCATTTTTAAGATAGAGAAAAATTTGAAAATTTCTCTCCTCTTTTCTATTTTGTTGCATTATTTTCAAATAAATATAAGTGTCAAGTGTGATTTGCTCCGTCTGTTGAGTTCGCTGAAATTCTGTAATTTCGATTGCCAGTATTGCAGAATAGTTATTCCGTTCTATCCTGGTAGGAATTAATCCAAAACTTTGGGCAACAGTGAGGGGATTAAATTCCTTAAGGACATACAAGCAACTTGTGGGCTCAGAATTATTTTTTCTGTTTTATTTATTAAACTAATGTTTCTCTGCTTCTCTGATTTTCTGATTTTGAACACAGATAACCAACAAATTCTATGTACTGATGGTGAAACAATATTTATATAATCAAGTGACTTTAAACGTTATTAGATAACATGTTAAAATGACGACTAACATGCAATCATAAGTTAAAATTAGTTGATAGCATAAAATCCATTTTTATTATCAGTGTATACAACTTAAATCGAAATAAGAGAATTGGCCTTTCTTTTCTTTGGTCAAGTTCCATGATTATTAAAAACCATTCCTTTTGGTTATTAGTTGAATTTTAAAACCACTTTCTAAGTATTACAACGTATCTACTTGCCTAATTCGGTTCATTCATACTATACATTCACAAAAATATGTGAGATTGATATTGACTCTTTGTAATACAACTTTTTTTATATCGAATTATTCAGAAAAAGTAATATTGGGTAATTATATTTTCTTTTTTGCTCTTATCTATTATCTGAACATTTTGGTGTGGGGAGTATAGATTCGTGCAAACTCTCCTTGTGCTGGAGATATGATTTGATTTTGTGGTTCAATATAAACGTTATGTTAGTTATATAGTATTTTATATGAGAAATTATTAACAGATAAATCAGTACATAAATCACATTAGATCTTTATAGAGTTATTTTCTTCTATTCAAATTATAAGTAATAGTATGAGATCATTTCCTCATTTTGGTACTATCAAAGATGGACCAAATAATGTAAAAATGGCGTGGAATGATCATTTACTGAGCAACTTTTTAATATTTAATCGTCTTTTGAGATGTCATTGAAATATAATTACTTTTTAATGTGAAATTTTAGACCAAAATACCCTTAACTAAAACACAGCAAAATTGATACTTATATTTAAGTACATTCATTGGCATTTCAAATTTGCTATCTCCAAAAAATAAGAAAAGTGACTATATGGGAAGTGGTGTGAGATTCATATATTTAATATATGATAGGTTTCTTATGAGAATTTCAAACTTATTTTTAGGGATCTTTACACAAATAATCAGCTAGATTTACTGTTTATTTTTTTTACACGATATACATAATTTATACACTAATTTTATATGGTTAAATATACTCCTATATTATATATGAATTATACATATATTATAAATTTTTTAAGTATTTTTAATTTAATCGGTTGGATAAAATACTATTTGGTTAATTCTTCTTTTTAATAGTTCAATTCTTTGGGTTCACAAAGTAGATGGGGCCGAACCTCTTGTATTCTAATTTCAAGATAGTTGCCTTACCACCCCTTTTTTTTTCCGGCTTGTTTGGATAATTGTTACATGTCGTTTCATCATAAATCGTATTGTATTGTTTGATGTACAATATTTGAATAAATTATATCGTTTGCCGTCATTTCATGATGCCAAACACCAACAATATGAAGAGTAAACTTGCAATATTACTAAAAAATAATAGGAACATAGTAGAATTAATATATAAAAAAGTAGGGTAAAGGATAAAATATAATTATTTTATAATACGGAAGGGCAAGAAAGAAAGAAAAAAAGTAAGGTAATGATGACACCACACCAAATTCGTGGTTAGATAAAGTGATGCTTTTCATCGTTTTATAACAACGGATTTAACGATATAATATAATAAAATTTAAATAACAATCAAAAATATTATTGTATTTAAAGAATAATAAAATACAATAGGTAACAACCATAATTGATACTTTGGAGTTCGTCTTAGTTGCCTAGAGTCTTTCTGCACCCTATCAGGCTAAAAGATCAATAAAGATAAGTCCAAAATTATTGTTTCAAAAAATTGTCCAACTAGTACCAAAAAGGAGCTATCCAATTTTTTCGACATAAAATGTAGCAATTCTTTTGGTAAATACCTAGGGTTTCCTATAACAAACACAAAACCTAGGCCCTCCGACTACCAATTCATCATTGACAAAATGAATACTAAATTGTCCTCGTAGAAGTCCAAATTCATTAATATGGCTGGCCGGACCATCTTAGCAAATGCTTCTCTTAATAGTATACCAAATCATGTCATGCAATATAATTTCTTGCCTATCAAGATCTAAAAAAGCATTGACAAAATTCAAAAAAAGATTTATTGGGGTCTCCACGACCACCTCAAAAAAAACTACACCTTCTTTCTTGGGATACATTGACAAAAGATAAAAAGAATGGAGGTATTGGGATCCATGCGGCAAAAGACAAAAACCTAGTTGCCCTAGCAAGTCTATCATGGAGAATCCTTCACAATCCTCTTCTTCCTTGGTCTCAAACTCTCTCATCTCTCTATGGCACTTCAAAAAATCATAAACACACTTCTTTCATTTGGAAGAGTATTGTCAAGGGTTGGAAAATTTGTAACAAAGGGCTAAAATGGATCCCTCATCAAAATTCTTCCATGAATATTTGGGATTCCAACTGGATTCCTAAAGCCACTACCCTTAGGAATATCATAGAGGGACCCCTCCCATTATCCTCTATTAATCTTGGTATAAAGGACCTGCGGCTAGGTAACAAGTGGGATTTCTCAAAATTCCATTGNACAGTCTTTTTAACCATAGCTTAAATAATCCTAGTTCTTTTGATTGGGTCTGGAGTTCAAAATGTCCCAACAAAACTAAGTTTCTCATGTGGAAGTGCCTCCACAATAGGCTCCCTACTCGTCAGTATCTTCACCACATAGGCATAAACATTGACCCTATTTGCCCGGTTTGCAAAAAGGGGAAGAGACAATTGAGCACATTTTCTTGAAGTGTGACTCAGTTAGCTATTTCTGGTCATCGTTAGGAATTTACTTTCCCAGGTTAAAAACACTAGGGATTGGATACACCTGATTAGGAACATCAGTACTACTTCATCCCCCACCATCTTATCTTGGGAAAACTTATTTCCCTTTGTTATTTGGACTATTTGGTCAAATAGGAACAACAATAATCATAACAACTTGTCCCTGAAATATAATCACTCCCATGCAATTTCTCTAGCCCTAGAATATTATTATCTCACTACTAAGGAAGCTACAATAACATAATCTGTTGCTATTAAGGTTACCTGGAACAAACCTCCTCACAATTTCATAAAACTAAACATCGATGGTGCTTTCAACGACAATTCAAACATGGGAGGTTTGGAAGGTGTTTTTAGAAATCATAGAGGAGAGTGGATGCTGGGTTTCCAACATTCAAAACCTTCTTCATCCCCGCTACAATCTGAATTAGAAGCCTTAAAATTTGGACTCTTGACAGCCCTCCATCATGGTCTCTCACCACTAATAGTGGAAACTGATGCAACAGACCTCATTAAAGCTTTTCAATCAAATACTATGTCTTATACAACTATTATAACTGATTGCAGGTGGTTAATGCACCAGCTGAGGCACCCGATGATCATCCATAACTTCCGAGAAGGAAATAAGGTGGCCCATAAATTGGCCAAGGATGGACTCAAGCATGCAAGGAAAAAATAAGTTTTTGTTAATCCATTGCCCCTAGTACTAAATAACCTAGCAATGGATAAGAATGACTGTGTGTACTTGATCAAAAAACTTAGCTCTATTGTCCGTTTAAATTTAGTCGAAATGGGGAATGTAAATGTCCTCGAGGCTTGATCTACTTCTGCAGATGTTTCTGCTAGTACTATGTAATGTTTTATCTCTATTAAAATAAATATCTTTTATCCTACAAAAAAAAGAATTGTTATAACGAAACTTGGTGGAAGCTACAAATTATGCGGCTAAACTTTAAATGCATCGTAAATATTGGCTATTCTTTAAAAAGCGGCCCTAAAAGCGGCTATTCGTGCACTCCCGGGAAATGGAACCCCGATTTTAGTTTAGCGCATGAGCACCGTGCGTCTGAGCTAGTGAGGATAGTCAGTCATGGCAGTTGGGTTAGTTGTGTCCACAGCCTTCGTTTCGGCAACTCCAAAACCAAGTACCTTTTGGTACCAGTCTTCTGCAGAAAAGGTACAATTTTCACTACTATCCATCTTGGCTAGAACATTCTAGAAAATGATACCCCTCAATTGATAGAAACAAAATAGTCTATCTTTGTTTTGAGTAAAAAAAGGAAATTTTTAACATTGTAGTTTACCCACGCGAATTCATGATTTAATTTTGATCGGTTCAACCTTTATGTTATCCCAATTTATGTGACATACTTTACTTTTTAGTCTGTGTTTTCTATATTTAGAAACAATTTAACTTTAAATTTTACATTATAGAGATATTTATAGCCACACGCCTGTGACTTATTTGTTAAAATTGTAATGTTTTTCCACAAATTCTATGCTCGTGTAAGAAATACCGAGTCTATGTAGCATCCATCCCTGACTCTCATAACACCTTAGATATGATTAATAGTTTCATAATGTTGCCCTTACAAGGAAGTTGTATGCTGTGCTGATTGCAGACACCCTGGCGCAAGAAACAGGGAGGAAATATTAATCGACACAGTACTTATGCAGATTGTGCTTCACAGATACAGGGCTTAACTAGGAAAAAAATGCCTTTTGCTGCGGAAAGGCTTTTACTTGATATGAAATCTGAAGGTTTTATACCTGATAACTCTACCTTGTCAGCACTGATGCTATGCTATGCCAGTAATGGTTTATTTGTCAAAGCATTAGCTGCTTGGGATGAAATTTTAATCAGTTCATTTCTGCCAGATGTTCGTGTAATTTTAGAACTGATTGATATCTGTGGCTGCAATGGATATATAGATGTCGCTGTTAGAATATTGCATCAAATTAAGTTGAAAAATTCCGACCTGCTTCCTGATATTTATGCTCGGGTTATCTCTCGTTTTGGAATGAAAGGACAGCTTGAATTGATGGAAATTATGTTGAAACAGATGGTTTCCATGGGATTCCCTGTTGATTCTGCTACCGGAAATGCTTATGTTATATACTACAGCAATTTTGGTACGCTGAGTGAAATGGAAGTTGCATATGGCCGTCTTAAGATGTCAAGAATTCTTATAGAGGAAGAAGCGATCAGGTCAATCTCCTTGGCTTATCTCAAGAAAGAGAAGTTTTATAGTTTAGGTCAGTTTGTAAGAGATGTGGGCCTTTGTCGGAGAAATGTGGGAAATCTCCTATGGAACCTGTTACTTCTTTCTTATGCTGCCAACTTCAAAATGAAAAGTTTGCAGAGAGAATTTGTGAGAATGGTAGAAAGTGGTTTTTTTCCTGATCTTACTACTTTCAATATCAGAGCTTTGGCGTTTTCAAAAATGTCATTGTTTTGGGATCTGCATGTAACACTTGAACATATGAAGCATGAGAAGGTAGTTCCCGATCTTGTGACTTACGGTTCTGTTGTTGATGCGTACTTGGATAGAAGTCTGGGGCGAAATTTGGATTTTGCTTTACAGAAATTGAATACAAATGATTGTGTTACAATAGCAACAGAACCCCTTGTGTTTGAGGCCATGGGGAAAGGGGATTTCCACTTGAGCTCAGAGGCACGTTTGGAGTTCAGTAAGAAAAAGAATTGGACATATGAGGAGCTTATCACAATCTATCTCAAGAAATACGTCCGCCGTAATCAAATATTTTGGAACTACTGATGATGAATAGCATGATCTGGAAGTTCTGCGCAATTACATTGTGCGCAGTTATCTGAACAAGTAAGCATGCTCATCCTTGCTTACTGAATGCTAATTTAACTTCACGAATGTGAATAAGTAACCTCTGATATGTGAGACATTAATATCCACCTCAGACATGTTGCGAAGTATGCCATAATATGTGAAACAGATGAAACAATTTATTAAACATGATTTGATCCTAACAAGATTGGAATATTTTATTCTATATCTGTCTCTCTCTCTCTCTCTCTCTCTCTCTCTCTAGTTCTTCAGATACTCTGGTACAAGTGTTTTATCGGCCACTGGCTGCAGCTCCCTGTTCACTGATTTTATCAGAAAGGATATAACTGGAAGCTGCTGTTTACAATTCTTTCTTTTTCTTTTTTCTCTTTTCTTTAGATCGTCATTTGTGCTTTTCCTTTGCCACATTCTTGTCCAGCTCATTTCAGTTAGTTCACCTGAGTGTCACAATTTAGTTGCTTGGTTACTGTTCTCTGTTCTAATTCCATAGTTTGCTTAAACTCTTTGTTCTTGCCGTTGCTTTTTGCCCGTGGTGCAGCAGATACCTAAGCTAACAGAAAATCAAATGGACACTAAAGATTAGTAACCTGAAAGAAGACAAACTCCAGCAGGTATGTGGAAGGGCAGTTCTGTGACATATATATATGGACACAAAATCTGCCTGTCTATTAGGTGGACTTACACCTGAGTATTAGTAACACCTAAAAAGTGAATACATGGAAGAAGGAGATATGATGCTTTAAGCATTATCAAAAGGAGATATGATGTCTTAAGTCTTATTTTAAGAACGGTTATGTCCATTTCTGTCCTGGAATTTTACAAAAGATGTGGTATGCATCAACAATATGGAAGTAAAGAATACTTCTTTCTATGATGTGTATTTAAGTGCATTCATTATCCTTGGGCAGAAAGAGAATTCTCTGCAAAAGAAAGATATTATACCTTGATATACCAACAACAGCTACAACTACAACTATGCGTCAATACTAATCTAGTTGGGGATATTATTCTTCACTATCTATATCGTGCTCAATTTAAACTGATATCAATCTAGTATTTGAAAAGAGGGTAAAAGGAATTTTTGGGAAGGGCGGGTTGTGTATGTGTGTGTGTGTATTGGGGTGGGGGGGGGGGGGGTTGGAGGAGAGTAAAATATCAGAGTGGGCGGATAAACAAATCTTGGATTTCCGAAGAATTCTTGGGTGTCCTTCGGAAGTTTCGAGGAGAGGAGAATATAACTCTCTTATGAGATACAACAAAAATGGTGTGAAGCTAGCAGTGGAAGACATTTTGAGGTTGAAACCATAAAAGATGAGGGAGTTAATGAATTTGGAATGCTCTATCAATTATGATTCACTTAGGAAATATTTAGAGTGGGAGGAGGCAAGAGATACTTGAGGAGAGTGTAGAGAGTCTTATGAACTTTAAGATAATTTCATGCAATGTGAGAGGGGTAAATGACCCGAGCAGTGGGGCCATCACCTAGGTGGAATTGAGGGGATAGACAACAGGGCAGTAATGTATACAAGAAATAAAACGGGAGAAGTTACCCGCATAAGATATCAGGTGCATGTGGAGAAGGAGATAGGTGAGAAAAGAAATGATTCCAACTGTGAGCTGGCTAAATTTTGGTGTTATGGGATGGGGAGAAGTTGGAATATAGGAAAAAGAGGAATTTCTCCACTACAGTAGTCTTTATAAGTATAGGCAGCATATTCGAGAGGCTTTGTGGGAGTCTATGGGCCAATAAATGAGTGGTCAAAATAGAGTTTAGAGAAGAAAATATCTGAGTTGTTGTCAGAAGGGGATGTACCATGAGTTATAGGTGGAATTTCAATATGATAAGGTTTGCGAAGCAAAGTGAGATGTTAGACATTCTTTATCGTAATGGAGGAATTCTTGGATTTTATCAATTGTCACCAACTTGTTAACCTTCAGGTGCCAAATTTACTTGGTCAGAGCTAATGAGGACAGGAAATCCCTATTCCTTAATTTTTATAGTGTTTCTCATACCACATGACCTTTCTTATATTGGATCTTAACGGAAAAGAACTTTAACTAAAGCAAACGGAGACATGGTGTCAGAAGTCTGTCAATATTTATGAACATAGTTTAGTTAAAGCATCAATTTCTTTTTGCAGAAATAAATAACAACTGGAAGCTGGATGAAACCAGCCGTCTTTAACTATATCCTAGAAGATGAACTAAATTAAAGAAATCACTTGTGGTATCTTTGGTGTCAACATCATCTTGCCAATATCTTGGCTCTTCCAGCCTCTTTGAATTTTGAATATTCTTGTTATCCACTTGATGTTGCATCTGATGAAAAGGGGTTGGTTGAGCGGCTTTTACTGCTATCATATCCTGAAATTACCTGCAAAAAATCATGACTTGTTATGTGTTTGAAGGTTTCTTCTTCAGGGTTGGTATGCCAATCAACATCGCTAACATTCTTCCGCCTGTAGCATTTTCATGCTATTTTCTTGAAGTTGAAACTGTTTTTAATTTGTTAAAAGATTTGATAACTTTATCAAAAAAGATGTTCTTATTACTCTTAGCCTTCTAGTTCACTTACTTGAGAGCTAGATCGACTTTCAGTAGATGGAGTTTTTGGGCTGCTTCCAAAAGGCATTTGTGGCATTGCTTCTTCAGCGAGTAAACGTAACCTGTTAAGTTCAGGCAACACAACAGTGCCAAGGTCTGGTCGATCTTTACGCCTGAGTTCGGCACACTTGAGTGCTAACTTGGCAAACGTCAAAGCCTCTTCAACAGGCCAGTCAGGAACTGCCGGATCAAGCATCTCAGTAAAAGTGCCTTTCTCAATTGCCCTCTCAACATGGTGGGTCAAACCCATTGGAGGTCTGGCTGTAATTATTTGGAGGAGCATTATTCCAAACGAGTATATATCAGATTTTGTTCCCAACATCCCAGTTTGTTGATATTCAGGGTCTATGTAACAAAATGTTCCTGCTGTTGATGTCATTCGATACTGTGTCACGGAGTCAGCTACAGAAGGGGGGACGAGCCTAGCTAAACCAACATCACTGATCTTGCTTACATAATTGCGGTCAAGCAAAATGTTGCCAGGTTTCAGATCCCGGTGCACTAGAGGTTCTGGCTTGGTCTGGTGAAGAAAAAGGAGGCTTGTACCTACTTCTGCAGCTATACGGAATCTTAGTTGCCAAGGAAGAACTGGAGTGTTTCCTCTTCGGAAGAGGCGATCATCTAAGCTCCCATTGGCCATGTACTCATACACCAGGCAGCCAAATTCAGGGCAGGCTCCAAGTAGAAGAACCATATTTGGATGCCTTATGCAGCTTAGAACTTCAACCTGCATCAGAGCAAATGAAAAGGGGCATGAGAAAATCTAAACTTTTTGGGACTACAGTATGACTGATTGGATTTTGTTGGTATTGCTTTTCTTGGGGGGAGGGTGGTGGTGGTGGTGGTGGTGTGGCGTGGTGAATATTGTATTATATGCAAGTAGAGAGACTCTGTAGTTCCTAATTCTCACATTTTGTTTGTTGAGCTCTGAGTAGTTTCGTCGAAGAAGGACACACATTTAATAAGATGCTTAGTGGTCGTGAACCATGATGCTAGAATTCTACAGCACGACATTTATATTCTATTTTCTGCAAGATAAACAGCTCACATATGTTCCCTAATTGTGTTCACACAGTTACTTTCCTTTACCAAAGGAAGGATTCCTCTATTCACATACCTCTTGCTGAAACTGTGACCTTCCTTGAGCTGCGTCAGGACGAAGAACCTTAATTGCAACCTGCGTGTGATCCAAGTAACACTTATATACCGGCCCGTATCCACCTTCCCCAATTTTACGAGATGCTGCAAAGTTTTCCGTTGCTGCTTCAATCTCCTCTATTGTATACTTACGGTAGCGGCAATCACTTTGTGCAAGGGCATCTAATACCTTCTTCTTCTCTTCAGCTTCTTTTAGTGCCCTCCTTTCTGCAGTGATTCTTCTCTGTGCCTCCCGTTCGGCGATCCTCTGTGCCTCTTCTGCAGCTTCAAGGGCTGCCTTGCACTTAGCCTTTTCTTTCTCTGCAATGGCCAGTGCTGCTTCCTCGGCTAATCGTGCCTCTTCTAATCTTTGTTCTTCTTCTACTTTCCAGCGGTGAAGTTCCAATGCCTGCATGAATAAACTTAGGCTAGATTCCAGTATGCAAGAGAGGTACTTTCCAACATATTCTGGTACACTAATGTACTATACTTTGATACAAAGTACCATTTTGGTGTGACATCAGAATTTTTCACCACCTCAAATTAATACCTTATGCTTTGCTGAAAGTGCCTCCTTGCATGCTGTGCTGTACATGTCCATGGTCTGCTTGAGCTCCTGCTTGAGTCTTCTCATCTCTGCTTCAATGTCTTCCTACATTAGAGAAAAATGTTTATCATGAATCTTCTGTATTTGGTGGTTATAGTTGTAAAAGAAACCTTTCGCTCTCACAGCTTTAGTGAAACATAGGAAAGCTTAAATAACAAAAGCACCATAAGAAAAGAAAGTGATGAAATGCATTTTCTAGTAGCATGAGGAGGATAACTTCCAGCAAAAAACTTTTGACCAAGATGAGTTAAAGTTATAAAACTGATTTTGTGCTTGGTTAAAATTTTTAAAGTTTGTTGCACCATATTTATTTTCCTATATTTTTCTTGGAGTTATTTTGTTAAACTTAGATTGCTTGTGTGATAATTGTATCTAGTGTGTCTTCACAGATTTTGCAGATATTACTGTAACTTGGGACATACCAGGTTGTTGGTTGATCCATTGGCACTGTCGAAAGAATTTGATGAAAAGGCATTAACTTCAGATAACCTGGTTGCTGAGAATGATGATCCAAAGCTTAATCTGCTATCTGTTTCTGAGCTGTTTGAAAGTCGAGGAGCAGAAAATCTATTATCTGTGTCTGAGCTGTTTGAAAGCCGAGGGGGAAGACCCAAATCGTAACTGTCAGAGGAGATTGGAAATGTACGATCTGAGCTTGGACGATTAGAGCTCACAAATGATATGTCAGATTCTGCCACTGAGAGGTCTCCATATGATCTGTTTACAGGTTTACCTCTGTTGAATGGGGACCTGTTGAAAGAGAGACATAAAAGTTGAGTTGTTCTATGCTAATCAACCCTTTCGAGTAGTAAATTTTGCAGTTCCTCTTATATACTGCATAAAGTATTGTCCCTTTCCTGATTGTCTGAAAAACTTACTTGATGAAATCTGAATCTTCAGTTGAACTTCGTGGTGCGTACGGTGACCTATCAGCCATACTTCCTGTTGAAATAGGACAGGTTAAACCTCTTTTAACAATATTATTGTTTTATTGACAGAAATTAATGCAATACGCTAGTGGAAAGCAGACCTCTTGAGTCGTTGCTGGGTGCATAACGTGCCTCAATGAAGCCAAGCTTAGCACCAAGAGAGGAGCTGGTCTGATTCTGCAGCAGGGAAGGGGGTGGATTGGGGACAGGAGCAGATGCATTACGTATTGATAGAACTTTGCCTTTGGCGATCACATAAACTGTACAAAAGCCAGGTGCAATTTTGGAGACAGAGCTTGGAACGTCCAACGTCTTGAATCTTCTGAGTCTAAGTGTTGTAAGTAGCCAGATATGGAATAGTGCAATATTTGTGAATACTACAGCTTATTGGGAACAATAAAAAGTACCTGTTAACGAAACCATTCCTTGATGCAGCTCCCATCACCAGATTCTCTGTGATATTGGCTGCAACATAGTCACTTATGGAGTTTGCTATGTCCATGCCTTCAATCACAACTTCATTGACGTGGATCTATGACAAAGGGAGAAACACTGATTCAGAAAATGGAAGTACGTTTGCAAGAACGCGATGAAGAATGAGTAAGAAATAGCAGACACTTACATTCTTGCGGTTGCAGAAGCAACGAAAGGGTAAGAACAATTCCTTTGCTTGACTATCAGGATCACTTCTATATACTCTGGGAGTTCCGTCATTAACATCTGAAAAATAAACGTTGTTCCAGTTACATAAAAAATGCTTTGAACGTATCCATATTTTCTTTTCTTTGGAGGTAGTGGATAGAATGGAATGCACGGTTGAAGCTTGTGGCGGATGTAGGTTTTGAACAAGGTTCAGCTAAACCCAGTATTTTCGATATAGAGCATAGATATATATGTAAAAAATCAGTGAAGTTTTAACAAATATTAAATTATGAGTTCAATAAGTTCTGTGCTTAGAACTTTATAAATTGAAACTATCAAGTTTAAATCTTGGATCCGTCATTTTTTAAGCCAAGACAGAGACCTCTTATCAACTAAAACTACTTCATTGCATTTTCTATGGAGAAATGTACTTCCATTTTGAAGTTGCTGTTCCAATATTTGGGAAGAATTAAATCTGGGTTACATTTCATGGCAACTCACTCATTAAGTTGTTCTGTAGACAAGGACAGAGGCGGATCCAAGATTTAGAGGCTGCGGGTGTCACAAAATTTTGAGCGTAGACATGCTACAATTTACATGTCTAATAGGGTATAAAGTTAATCGGTTTGGTCTATTTGAGTTTCGGTTCGGGTTATTCGTCTTTGAAGTTAATATAGACAAATCGATCGAGCAGAAATTACGTAATTCGTATAATAACTTGGAAAAGAAGCATAAAATTCAATTGGATTATGCATTTTGTATCAGAAAAAAAGGCTCGTTATCAATTTTAATTAGATACTCAAGGCAAAAGTTTATACTAATAAGAACTCTAAACATTAAAATCGAAGCAAGTTTACGGACATATTTCATATTAACTCACTCAATATTATTATCCTAATTTAGAGCAATATGACAATAAAATAAATTTTCATCCTTGATTATAACAGTAACTTATTCAAGGATTTCTATATTTTTTGGTTTCTCCAAATAGATTTACCGAAATTATGCTCCTGGAGAAAAATATTAATTTTTTTTATTGTCTATTGACAAATCATGGAGGATAAATCATGAAGGAGTTGGGAAAGCGCAACAGTGGGTTGTTTTTTTACTAGGAAAGAATAAATTTTTGAAAGAAAAAGATATTTAAAATTATGTTTAAAGAAAAAAAGGAGAAAAGAAATTTCAAAATAAACTAATAAACAAAGAAAAAGTCAGTAGGAAGAGTACTAATAAACAACAAACAAGAAAGAGCAATTAAGGAAAAAGAAGAGAAACAAAGGAGTAAACATCCTCCCATATTTATAGGAGTCTTATAGCCTGTTTGGCCAAGCTTCTCAAGAGGCCAAAAGTGCTTTTTTTCCTAAAAGCACTTTTTTCCCCTAACTTGAGATGTTTGGCCAAGCTTTTTTGAGGAAAAAAGTGCTTTTGGGAAGAAGCAGAAGCAGTTTCTGAGAAGCAGAAAAAAGTAACTTCTTCCCAAAAGCAGAAGCAGAAGCAGTTTTGACTTTTCTTCTTACCAAAAATGCCCTTAACAAAATATAGTATATACCAAATAATCGTTAAACCTAATACGTAGGATATTAATGTATAAATATTTCTTCTTATTTTTAGGATAGCTTTCTAATATATAGTGACTTTAGCGGTGAATGCTTTTATATTTGTTGAAATATATTTAACTTATATTAAAAGAATTAAGTACTTTTTATTTTTATTTTCATATTTTACTTAAATAAAATGAAAAGATTTAATTATTGCATGTAATAACAAACTTTTGAGATTATTTATTTACTTATAATATTAAGTCTAAAGTAAATATATTCATGTCCTTATTCGTAATTTGATACTTAAAAGCACTTTCTGAAAAGCTTGGCCAAACACAAATTATTGCTCAAAAGTGCTTTTCAGAGTAATTAGCCAAACACAAACTGCTTCTCTCCAAAAGTACTTTTTTCAAAAGCACTTCTCAAAATAAGCTGATTTCTCCAGCTTGGCCAAACAGGCTATTAAATGCACCAAACAAAACTTCTAAGAAAAATATGCAATGCCGGATTCGAACACGCGCCAAAACGGTGGAATGAGTGAGCATTGCCAGTGGCACCTTGAGTAACTTTGTTAATGGGGGTGCCACTTAATATATTTGTACCATTCTTTCTGTATATACATGCATGTATACATAGTACTGCATAGTCTCAGCCAAAGCTTGCGGGTGGTGTACCACCTCATCCCTTACACGTAGATCCGCCCCTGGACAAGAATATAATGAAACATTTCATCCGAAAACACTCCTTCCATTCCCGTTCCTTTATACATAACAATATTTCCTTATTAGTTCGTTCTATAAATGAATGTCACCTTATATATTTGGAAACACTTTAACTTTAAACTTCTTATTTTACTTTTAGTGTTGTGCTTTTGTAGCCACATACATCTCTTAGCATCAGGGGCGGCTCAATGGAGTCGGTGGCCTAAAGCTAAGTTTTAATAAGAGGATTAAGCTTATTTAATAAAACATTTTGTATGTCTTCTTGTTTGAAGTTTATTCTTTTAGATTTTTAAGATAAAAAGTTGTTCATATTTTTATAATCAATTTCTTATGATATTTCTTTTTCATTTGACAATTTAACCAATCAAAAATTTTGTTAAATAAATTTTTTATATACATTTCATGTTTAATTTTAATTAGCTAAGCGTATCTATAGAGGCCCTTAAAGGATAAAAATATTGTAGAAAGAGTTGAAACAAAATTGATTCAAGTAATTGGAGAAGAAGCAAGTAACTGCTAATTTAATTATCTATTTTTTTCATCATAATTACCTCAACCATAAAATATTCAACTATGTGATTAATGATAGGATCAATTTGTTGGGCCCTAAAGCTTATACTTTTGGGGGTTAAGTCGGCACTGCTTGCTATATTTAGGTTGACTAGTTCCAAAAGTTTTTCATTCTTTTGTTATTTGCCCCTGTCAATTACACTACATAAATTAAGATAGAGGGAGCACCATTTAACAGAAGAGAGAATTCATGAAAAATTTAAAATGGACGAGAAAAGATCTGAATGGATTGCCCCGACAAATAAATTCCAAATTAGAGCTAGAATTATAACCTCATTAACTATTTGGCTTTCAAGAACAATGTGAATATGATTAAACTCATAAAGGAGGAGAATAAAAAATCACAAAATTAACAATATGATTAAAATTGCTCGACATTTGAAGAGAAACAATATGCAATTAGCTGTGCATGGTTTGCATGTGATTACGTGCAAACATAGAAGAACCCTACATCCCCTTCAAACTACAGCTAGCACAGGAAATGGAATTAACCTTAGGTAAAAACTTATTAAACTAACAAATATTCTATGCATACTTTTGGATAGCATCAATTATACATCAACCAAAAAGAACGCAATTAATCTTCTCCTCAACCCCACAAAATTAAGGAGAAAAGCTTTAGAAAAACAACATTATCTCCTGAAAATAAATAAGATTTTCATAAAGGTAAAAAAGAGGCAGAAGAAAAAAAAAAAAGAAAAGAAAACCTGCATTAGGAAGGGAATTAGAAGGTCTGAGTTTAACATGGAGAAGAGTAACAGTTTTGCCTTTGCCAAGAAGATTATCAACTGCCCATTTTAATGCATATTGGCTTCCTTTATCTTTGTCTATTGCTACAACTGTTGCCTTTTCTTCCCCCTTTTTCTCTCCGCTACTGCTCTTTTGGCTCATCATCATAATATAATCTCTTCAACTAATTAATTCAGAAAAAAATCTATTCTTGTTGTTTCTCTCTTTTCCCTTCCCTTTCTTCAAGATATATATCAAGGGACCCTTTTTAGGTCCCACGTTCCTTTGTGATTTCCCTTTGTTTAGTTTTTCTTTCTTTCTTCTCCTTTTCTCTTCTATGAGAGAATCAAAATCTTTTAAATTTGTCTCTCTGTATTTACTTTTTAGAAATATGTGCATATATACACACATAAACATCTAAATGTGTATATCTATTTCTTTTGGAGGCTCTAGCAGATTTACCCATTTATCAAGCTCGTCCAGAAATTTGTTTCACATGTTGTTAACTATATTTATTTATTTATTTATTTTAGATTCTGAGTTTCTGGGATTATCTTTAAAGATTGACTTGAGAAGACGTGGCATCAAAAATTTCGAGAGGGATTTTTTTTTTCTATTTTTTTTACCTCTAAAGAAAAAGAATGAGAAATAGTTTGCGGGATTCGTCGATTTTATTTTCCAAATTAAAAGGTTCAATAGCATAGAACCGAAAATACGCGAGAATTTAATTACAAGATCCAGAGATGTTACTATTATGTCATATAGTTCACAAAAAAATTTAAGGTTAAATTACAATAATCATTCCTATATCTCTTTTATTTAGTTGTTTATATACTAGTACTAGTATTTTATTACAATCCGCTGAGTCATGAGCAAAGGCGTCTCAGTAAAACTCGTGGCCTAAAGCCAAATTTTAATAAGGGGTCATAATTTTTGTATAGTTATCTTGTAAAATATAGTATTAATATTATATTGATTTCTTTTTGTTTTCTTTTTTATTTTATCTATAGTATATTTATCTTATAAAATATAATATTAATATTCACATTGGTAAGAAAATTCAAGTTAATAAGATGTTAGCCACTTATTTATAATTCGTTACCTTGAATTTTATTGTAGAAAACATTATTTATCAATATGAAGATTTTAGTATCTTAATTCAAAGTTCTAAAATATTTCTATTGTTAAAAAATAGATAGTCTTTCTTTCTATAAGAAATTTGTATTGTTAATTTCTATTTTTTTTTCCGTTTTTCTATAAACTTCAATATTGTCTAAGTGAAAATAAGATAGTAAATCCACAATTAAATATATTTTTGGGGCTCCAAAATTTAGGGGGCCTAAAGCAAATGCTTTACTAGCCTCCCCTTTAGCCACCCCTGGTCATGAGATCACACATAAAAAATTATATCATCACAGCTTTGCAGTTTGCTAATAGTCTTAGGCCTCATTTGTTTGCACTTAATGAAGGTCTGAATCTTAATCATTCAGATCTCAAACATTAAGTGCGTTTGTTTTTAAAGTCTGAATCTTAATCATTCAGATCTTAATCATTACGTGTGTTTGTCTTTTACTTCACAACCACTTAATGGGTCTGAATAGGTCTGTATGATCAAGATCTAAAACAATGACTTAATTTCATTAAGATGCTCTCATCCACATTCATTAGTAAATGCCGCCACCGCCTACCATTATCAACTACCACCATGCCACCCGCCACCACCACCATACTCAACCACCATCACCACCATTTCTCAACCACACACCTATCCACCTCAACTACCACAGCTTACCAGCCCATCACCATTAACAACCATAGCAGGCACTGCGCACCATTATAAACTACCACCACCCACCAACATCTTCCTCAATCACAACCACAACTACAACCACAACCACCACTATCACCCACCATTATTAACTATCACCACCGACCACCACCATTCTCTATCATAATTGCCATCGCTGCCTATCACCACTAGCTACTATGCACCACTACCATAAATCAAAACCACCACCAACCACCATTTTTAGTCCGCATTCACAAGCACCACCATTAGCCACCACCACCAAATACCATATTTAAAAAAAATATAGTTTATTGATAAAATATCATATTAATTAGTATTTTATTTGAATTTTATGTTTACTATAAATAAAGATAAATTTTATACATTCAGATAATTAAAAATAAATAGTCTTAATCATTTAGTATACATATATTAATACACAACTTAATATTCTGTTGTGTATTCAGATTCATATATTTTAATCTTGATACATATCTTGATATTTATACGTGCATTCAGATTTAGATGTCTTAATCTTAAAAAAAAACGAGGCTCAGTAAAGTCTTCAAGCCAATTGGCATCACCATCCATTTGCACTTTGAGTTTCTTCAATATTAATGCTAACATGTGCCGATTACTTGGAAAGAGTAAAAGTACTTATTATACACTCGAAGTGTAAAATTTTGAACTCTCGTAAAAATTGTGTCTGCATAATATGTGACAAAAGGATAATAAATTAATTTGAAAATCCAAAGCTTTCTTAGGAGGGCAGCTAAGTGGTGGTGTTTGTGAAACAATTATTTTTAACTACTACTACTACTTAGTAAAAGATAATATAAAGGAAGATAGTATTAAACATATATAAGAAAATGAAAATGAAAAATAGGAGTTTCTGGTTACCGAAGTATTATTGCCGTGAATATGGTAGAGTGCATTTAGCATGGAGGAAAATTGGTTTACTCATCGAGTAAAGGGAGACTTACCTTTTTGTATTGCAACTTTAGTTAGAATATTCTGTACAAATAGTATGTATTATGGGCTTCATCTGACAGGAAAAGAATTGTACCAATGTGTTTTTGCTACAGAAACCTGCTACAATAATGCTGCGAAAGTTCAATACAAGCAATTAAGTTTCCTTTTAACTTGAGTAGTTGAGCAAAATGAGTGGAGGTGGACAAACAGCCATATAAGGTTTTGAGACCACATCATATGTCAAAAGAACTCAGGGGCTAAAAAGTTACCCACACTCGATGTTAACATCAACTTAATGAATACCTGACACGTGTCTTTAATTATCACTCCTAGCACTAAATCGTATTTCTTACTCATTTTCACCTTAATTTATGACCTAACTATAGTAAATTAATATGGTTTGATGTATCCGATCACGAGGTTGGTTGGTAGATACAATAGTCTTCGTCCTGGTTCTCTGCTTGTCTTCCATCATCACTACTTGCGATACAAAGAAATAACCTTTCATAAGCGGCAGCCATTTTTGTAGCAGTAAACAAGTTCAAACCTCTCTCCCTAGCAACTCTCCCTTTCTGCTGCAGAATTTCCTTTCCGTCCTCCCAAACCTCATATAAAGCTTTCTTCAATTCCCCAACTGTAGGTGCAAATGTATACCCCATCTCTTTGCTAACAATGATAGAACCCGTAAAACTAGCAAGTTTTGTCGCCATTACTGGCTTACCAACTAGGTTTGCTTCCAACGGGACCTGATCCAAACCTTGAGCTCTTAAAGTCGGGTGTACAAATACATCTATGGCATTATAGAAGCCTGCCAGTCGTTCTCTTTCTAATGGTCCCAAAACCATCACATTTGATCCGAGCTCTTTGTATCGATCACCCCACGGACCATTTCCAGCAATTAGAACAATGACACTGTCCCTGAATGTTGAGTTCTCCTTGAAAATTTGTTTTAAGGCTTCAAACATTAAAGGGTGTCCTTTATCTTTAACCAACCTCCCAGCTAACCCTAGGATTATGGACGACCTCGATTTATCTGCTCTGATACCAAGTTTTAACCTAAAATCATTGCCCATTGAAACGTCAGGCTTGAATATCTCCTCATTGACACCATTTAGAATGATATGCACACGTTCTTCTGGGATCATATAGATCCTTTTAAGTACATCTCCTACATGATCACTTGTGGCAACATGGTGAGCATAATATTGAAAAAACTTTACCTCTTCAACAACCTTCATCATTTTACCAGCAAATGCAGATGATTGTGAATCTTCAGGATTTCGTACGAGTTCCTGTATAATATCAGAATGTATGGTCTCGTAAGCAATTCCATGCCAGCTAACCGCAAGATTATTCAAGTTATTAGGTCTAGTAAGCCTGAGCCCTACACTCTCCGTATGAATCACATCAAACGGCCTTGATGCAGTTGCGCTTTCTGTTAGAAATTGCTTCCAAGCAACAATTTGGTCCATAGATCCAGAACCCATAGGTCTCGAGAAGTGAAAATGGAGATTGCTCATATTAAAGTATGACGATAAGCTGGTGGAGGATGAAGACGATATTGTGAAGATATGTATCTCGTGCCCACGTTTGGCTAACGCGAGATAGAGTGTCAGCGCGTGTCGCTCCATTCCTCCTGCCTGATTTTTTTCTGGCCATTTCTTGACAAAGAGAGCAACTTTAAGGAGTCTTTTAGGTGGTTTTGATGGGTAGACAAGATTGTTCCAAGCTTTTGGGTATTTAAGGAGATTAATTGGTCCATTTTCTTTGTTCATTTGGACATGGTTTAGTTCTGTCATCTGGACATGATGACAATAGCCATAGCCAATGAAATAAGACCAGTAGAGGAGAGGAATGGATGATAAGGCAGAGAGAAAAACAAGAATGCAGCTAGAAGATCGGAAACTACTTGAAAAAGTGGTTTGATGTTTTGCCATTGACAGTCTAATATCAAGAAGAAGAAAATGGAGTAAAGGATATATAATCTTGGTGTATAGTAAGGAAGCAGGAAGAAATTAAAGTACCATCAGTAGATCAAGCATGATTTTCGGAAATGAGATTTTTTAACATTAAGTTTATATCTTTGTTTCAGATCTAACACGGAGTTGCACATGATTATGAGTTAGTTCAAAATATGTAATACTAAATTAATACTCACAGATATCTAGAAATACTCTATTTAAGTTGACCATATTGATTAATGGATTTTGACCTCCGCAGATTTCTCCATATAGGGACGTGTGCATTCCTCAATCTGTGATGATAAAATACTCCATGCCCCATGCTCTTAGATTGGGTTAGGTGGTTTTCTTAAGAAAATTGAAAGACATAGAAGATTAAAAAAACACAAAAATTTCTATACTCGCTTTTAGTTAGTTTCTATGGAGATGTTTGGAGATTAGTGGCATCCTAGTAGCATCCATTAGGGTGATTAGACATATGTAAGATGGTGCTAAAATTCAGGTGAGTACTACCGGAAGAGACTCGGAACACTTCCCAGTGATGATGGGGTTACATCAGGGATCAACTCTTAGCCCTTTTTTATTTGCTCTGGCGATGGATGTGTTGACGCGACACATCCAAGGGGAGGTGTCATGGTGTATGTTATTTGTAGATGATATAGTGCTGATTGATGAGACGTGTTGCGCGCTAGGTTGGGCTGCTTGTGAAGTATGGAAAGAGATCGTATTTAATTTTGCACCAGTGGACGTTTTGGATAAGTAAAAACAGTAGACGGATTCCTACATCATTACATTCCATTTAGGATTAGGAATACGCGTAATCGGACCTGCTTTTTTAATCTTTTGGTTAAGAAGGATGCGCCCTCTGCTAAGGAGTATCTTAAGGCTAGTAAGAAACTCACTACCGGTGAGTTGGATCTTCTAAACCTCTTTCATCAATATACATTGGAAGGCATTATCATTTACATCTTTGGTTGCCTCTTCAATAGTATTAATGAGAGTCCGAGACTCTGGAAGAGTGGCTTTCTGCTGAGGTTGCTTCTGACGGGCTTGTGAACAATTCGGTAAAAAACCCTAGTGACTCTTTCCTCCCTTTACTAAAAATTCTTCTATTAGTATTAGCTCAATCCCAACTTTGGAGACAGAACCTGGAGTCTAAAGGTTTCAAGTTGAGTAGGACGAAAGCAAAATACTTGGAGTGCAAGTTTAGTGAGGGGACACATGAAGAAGAAGTGGATGTGAAGCTTGATACACAAATCATTCCCAAGAGAGATAGTTTCAAGTACCTTGGGTCTGTTATCCAAGGCAACAGGGAGATTGACGAGGATGTTACATATCGTATTGGAGTGAGGTCGATGAAATGGAGGCCCGTATTTGGTGTTTTTTGTGATAATAATGTGCGACAAAGACTTAAGGGCAAGTTCTACAGAGTGGGAGTTAGACCGACTATGTTGTATGGTGTTGAGTGTTGGCCAGTTAAGAAATCCCATGTCCAGAAGATGAGAGTAGCAGAAATGAGGATGTTGATATGGATGTGTGGGCATACCAGGAAAGATAAAATTAAGAATGAAGTTATTAGGGACAAGGTGGGAGTGACCCATGTGGAAGAAAAATTGCGGAAATCGAGGCTAAGATGGTTCATGCACTGATGGTAGGCTAGAAACTCGTATTTTAGCTACGTTTTACACTTTAAATTGCTGCACTTTACGTGTGTTTGAGCTTAAATGATAGTGAATTGCACTTATTACGTATTTTATGCCTTGCAGGAAGTGATTCCGAGTTGAAAAGATAAATTGGAGCTGAATCGAATAACTTGGAGCTTTGAAGTCTAAGTAAAAATCCAAGAAATTAACCGGGATCGCTTTTGGGGGTCGAGAACCAAGTCCGGATATCAAAAAGTGAAAGAAATAGGTTACTCTAAGAAAACTACACTGCCACACCGCATGGGGCAGCGCGAGGCGCGGCGCGACAATGAAAATTATGCCTGTTAACAGAATGGACAAGCCTTTGATAATCCCCACAAGTGCACCGCGTGGGCGACGCGAGGCGCAGCGCGCCTGTGCAATTTTCCCAAAGTATTTTCCTATTTCAGCTTGGAAAGGGTAGCTTCGTCCGGACCCACTTCTACATGGTGTAAATAGACCAAAATACATTTTTGAAGGGACTTTTGACCTACGAAAGATTTGAGAAGCAACTAAGGCAAGAAGACACAAGAATTCATCAAGATCTCAACCAACAATTGGTGCAATATGGGAGTTTGTATCGAATCATTAGCATTGATAATTTTTATGGTTTTAAACCTTATTGAGATGATATTTTCCATTGCTATGGAGTAATTTCTCTTACATATATAGTGTATTGATAATTTGATTACGAATTCGATTCTTGACAATTGTTTGAACTAATTAATGGAGTTTTAAATCGCATTGTGACGTTATTTATTATTTTGCTTACTCAAAAGAGGAGCTTTATAGTGAATTTCTTTACATCTTATTTTCTAGTTTGAATTCATGATTCAATTTGGTAATCGAAAGGGCCTCTTGAATTATTAATCGAACTAGAAAATAGGAAAATATTTGTGTGAAGTTACCCTTTAGACTAAAACTATCATTTTATTCGTTGCAATGGTTCACCGTGCTTCAATTGAATTAATTACTGAAATTAACGTTCAATCGAAAGAGAAACATTAACTTCAAGTGTAATCTAATTATCTGTTGAATTCGCGAGAATCAATAGTATTCTAAAATGAACCAACTCAAGAATTGGATCTCGAGTCAATTGTCTTGCACATGTCTAGTCAATTACTCTTATTTCTATCACTTATATCTCTTTGTTGCTCAACTGTTGTCCTTCGTGATCAACTGAGAATTGCTTAATTTTTAGTAGTTAGTCATAGTTAATAATCATTCAATCAAGTGTTAATTTTCCTGGATAGTAATTAACTAAAGATTATTCAGACATTGTTTAAATCTCGTCCCTATGGAGACAATAATTTTACTATACTATCTTTGGCTAGCGAGCATCAATTTCATGTTGTGTTTGCGCTTGTCAAATTTTGGCATCGTTGCCAGGGATTGACAATCAATATTGTTTAAAATAGTTTTTAGTACTAATTCACGAACCAATTTTACTTTATTGTATTCGCGTTTTCTCACTTGTGTGCAGGATACAAGTTTAACTTTTCTGGTGTATGACTCTGTCTTCCGCAAAGGAAGTGATACCCTATGAACCGGATTTGGAGAAATATCTGCGACAACTGAGAAAACAAAGATGATTCACCGAAAATTTCTTGGGGCAACCTTCAACCCATGAACACATGGCAAAGAACGACGATGATGGAGTAGACTTAGCTGTAAAAGAGGCAGCACAACATAGAGAACAAGCTGCACTGGTAGTAGATGAAGTATCCCTTAGAGCTGCTGATGAGACTGTCGAAGAGGATAGGGTCGAAGATTCAATCTAAACCGACCCCTGGTTGAAGACCTATTTGAAAATGTGGCCCCAAGCCTAGGAGATCATTAGGTGACTATGCCAGACCTGTCTACAATCGGGGACTATCAAGCTGCACTGGTAGTAGATGAAGTAGCCCTTAGAGCTGCTGATGAGACTATCGAAGAGGATAGGGTCAAAGATTCAATCTAAACCGACCCCTAGTTGAAGACCTATTTGAAAATGTAGCCCCAGGCCTAGGAGATCATTAGGTGACTATGCCAGACCTGTCTACAATCGGGGACTATCAACTGTCAGACTTCCACCCATAGAAGCAAACAACTTCGAGTTGAAGCAACGCCTGCTTCAAACCATCCAAAACGACTGTGTCTTTAGAGGGAAGGTGAGTGAAGATCCTAATACTCACTTGATGGACTTTGAGGAAATCATGAACACCTTCTAGTACAATGGAGTATCAAAAGATGCGGTTTACTTGAGGGCATTCCCTTTTCTCTTAAAGATGACATGAAGCATTGGCTTTGTAGCTTACCAACAGGGTCGATCCGGACATGGGAATATATGACTAAAAAGTTTCTTGACAAGTACTTCTTAGCTGCAAAAATAGGGAAGTTCAGAAGGGAAATCCACAACTTCTGCCAGAAGGAAGCTGAAATGGTTTTCGAAGCTTGGGATAGATTCAAGGAGATATTAAGAAGGTATCAGCATAATGGAATCGAATTGTGGATGCAACTCCAGTTCTTTTGGGATGGACTGCCACCCTCCTCAAGACGAACTATGAGTACTACATGTGGAGGTCCATTAATGAAGAAAAGTCCAGAGGAGGTTGTCTCAATACTTGATGAATTATCTGAGGATGCTAACCAATGGCCTGTCGAGAGTAATGACAAAAGAAAATCTGTTGGGGTTCACTAGGTGGACTCTAACACATTAGTCTAAGCTCAGCTTGACACTATGACTAAAGAGATAAGAAAGTTGACCTTAACCAAGGTACAGAGTGAGCCGCAAACAGTATGTGACTGAAATGGGACACCCTACATATGAGTGTCAAGCCTCAGCTGAGGAAATTAACACTGTGGGGATCTATAATAGAGGAAGCTACCAAGGTGGGAACAACTACAATGCTCTAGGACAAAGACATCTAGGTTTCTCTTGGAGTTCACCTAGTAGGTGTTTGAACTCGTGGCAGCAAAATAATCCTCGACCACAGGGTCAAGGACCACCAAGTTTTCAGAACCAGCCGAGGCAGCAATACCAACAATACCAGCCATAACAGTCAAATCAATCTAGTATGGAAGATCTTATGAAGGTTTTCACCAACAAATTAGAAATTTGAGACTCACGACGCAACCATCCAGGAACAGGGCACAACTATCGGGAATTTAGAAAGACAGATGGGACTGATTGCAAACTTGTTATCTGAGAGGGATCCTGGGACTTTGCCCCCTAATACTGAAAAAACCCAAAGGAAACAATCAAAGCTGTATCTCTGAGAAATGGCAAAACAGTAGCTGACCTAGTTGTGAAAGCTAGACCAGAGGTGGTAAACAAGAAGACTGACACTGGAAGAGCAAAAGAGTGAAGAATAGAAAGGCCAGAGTAATGGGGTACAAAAAGAGATTGAAGAAAGTAGACACATGCCAGCTCTGCCATTCCCT